TCCGAGCAGCCCGAGTCTGTCCCGGCTTGGTGCTCCGATGGCTGATTTTCCTTCTTTAATCTAATTACAATGAAAGTTAAAAATCCAGGATGCAAAGTTAAGTTGTAGGGGAACAAATCCACTATGAAAGTGGGGTCGTTTGAGTCCTGACAACAAGTTGGTGTCCACACAAGGAAGACGGCATCACCCTGCTGGCAAGCACACGCGCCCCGGGGTGGGGGTCGGGTCCACAGGGTCACGCAAGGCTGCCCGGGATGGGGGGAGACCCTGGACAAGGGGCGGCGTGCCGCAGAGCCAGGCCAACCGTCGCAAGCTCTCGGTGCACACGTCCCTGAGGCCATCCATGCCTCTGCCCCTTGCTGGTAAAGCGGGAATGAGGATCATGTGCCCTCGTGTTGGAAGGCCAACGGTTACTACGCGCGCAGTCTTGATGACATGGTCTGGACAAAGCAGGGACGACGCGGCTGTTAGAGCACAGGAGGGAGGACTCCAATCCCTCAGCAACACTGCCGCTGCTTCTCTGTAACCCTCAGATGTCCACGGGGCACGACCACCGGCCTCTTCCAATATCACTACGGGGAAGACACCCTGAGGAGCCTGGAACTGAGGGGGTGATGCTGAGCAGAGTTGGGCACATGCGGGCGGCGCACTCCAGGGAGTGCAGGGACCGCACAGAGGCCAGAGAACGCTACACACGCCCGTGAATGCTCCCTGCAGAAGTGAGGGGTGGGGGGCAGAGGTGAGCCCCACGGCCATGCTGGGGGATCAGGCTGGCTCTGCGGCAGGGGCGGGGTGGGAACCAACCTGAAGAGGTTTGGGCCTGTCCCCCTAAACCACACCCCGCTTCCCACAGTGAACACTACAACCAGAAACAACGGGCTGGTGCAGAACTCCAGCAGTCCCAGTGCCAGGCGCGTGCCTCAGAGTGATAGCCTCCGGACTCTGACTGGGGACAGGATGCCTCATGCTCTGTTCTAGGAAGGCCAGGGAGCAGAGACCTGGGCGGGCAGGGCCAGGTGAAGGGCACAGGACACCCGAAGGTGCTGTTAGATATGAATACCACCGGGGCAAGTGGGGTCAACCTGCAGTGGTAAGCAGAAGGGACTTCACAGTCGCCGTCCACACAGCAGAGCGGAGTGTCTGTTATGGGCTCTGAGCCCCCAACAGGCCGCACGTTCCCTTGTTAGCAGACCTGTCCTCCAGAGGCCATGACCTCCCAGCAGGAGCCATTAACTCCCAGGATGAGAGGCCCAGGTGGGAAGCTCGGCCTCGGGCGGATGCAGCCTGGCACATCTCCAAGGCCCAGGGGGGCATCACCCTCGGGAAGTGCCCACCCCAGCCACAGCCTGGGAGCTGCCCACACACCGTGGACTCACGCACCGGGGCGTCCGCCAGGCCCAGACCACGGCTGCACAGCCACACCAGGCAGCCCTCAAGGCCGCACTGTGCCCAGCTCCTGTCAGTGGAAGATGAGCATGCCTGTCAGCCCCAGCACCCGAATTGCTGCAGGACGCATGTCCATGTGTGGCCAGCGCTGGCTGGCGGCTAGTCCTGCAGAAAGGCGACCAGCTCAGCCAGGCCTCAGCCCAATGCTCCGGGGCACGGTGCGGGTAGGGTACATGTTCTTACTGAGACAAACGTAACCACCATTAATACGCAGTCTGGGGGTCCACATCACGTCCCAGGGTTGTGCAGTGCCACCACCAGGGATCCTCATGTGCCCATGCCACCCCCCCCAGAAACTGACCCCTGCCCCACCTGTGTGTCTGCGCAGTGAGGGCTCTGTCACTGCCGTGGGCTCTAGCCTGGGCTCCCACCAGGCAGGGTCAAGGCCTCGACCTTCTCGGACCAGGACATGATTTCGTGTCAGGCCCGCACAACCCTGCCGCATGTGCGCTGTCCACGCGGACTCACACCCAACACGCAGCTGGGACCGTCAGAACATTCAGGCCTGGTGCCGCTGTTATTTCTCTTGGGTATGGACCAACAAGAGGAACAGACGGGTCAGGTGGTAATACCCCAACTAATGTCTTGAGCGAAGGCCAAGATGTTCTCCAAACTGGCTCCACCATTTCCACCAGGAATGAGGCTTCCTATTCTGCCTCTCTGCCAACACTTGCTACTGGCAAAGGCAGATATCCAAAGGCCAGTAAATTCCGGGGCTCACGCCTGCATGAGCAACCTCTGGTTAAAGGTCTTCATTCTGCCTGGGTGTGTCCCGGGGTGGGGGGGAGATGCCCCGTGGGTTCTAGGGACGACGAGCCCCCACACAGGCCCCACAGCAAGCGAACCACGGTGCCCTCGTCCGCTCAGAACACCTGACGGGTGGGCAGCGCTCCCAGGAATTCCAAGTGAGGAGACGCGGGGTAACCCCAGGTCCCTAACTCTCCAGAAGTGCAGACTCAGGGCTGACGGCCCCCGGGTCATGCTCTGCAAAGGCCACTCGCGCGCTCAGACAGCCCCGCCGGGCCCCGCAGAGGGAAGACCCTGAGCCTGTGACAGCCGGGAGGAGAAACGAGTGGCTCTGTCTGCCCAGAGCAAGAGCGGAGCAGCGGCCCGGTCATTTCAACTGGAGCCCTGGAAACGTCGAGAACGACATTCTCAGGCAGGTGAAAAGGAAGTGGAAAGAGATTCCGAAATGAATTATAAGAAGAAAATTGTCAACTGGAAATAAACAGAAACATGGTAGGAATCTGGCAAAGCAAATTCCATTAACTCTAAGTCTTTATTTCTAAAAAATGGTGTCTCGGTGAATATTTGAAAGCTTAAGACCCAGCTCCAAATAACCGCAGAAAATAAAGCTTAAATGAGGCTGGAATCTGAGCAGTGAGTGTACGCGCTAAGTAAATAAACAAAGCTGGTATAAATTACCTTGCTGTAATTGACACAAAACCAAGCCCATCTTTTTATGTTTTATTGTTAATAGGGGCCAAAATTAAAGGCTTCCACGGGAGTGTGCTTTAAAGCACAGGCAGCGAGGACTTCAGAAAAGGCCCAGGAGAGGCGGTTTACCAGACGCTGAATAAGTACCTGGGGCCTGTAAGTAGGAAGCGGGGAGAGCACACACGGGCGGCCTAACCCGGACCACAGGGCAGACATTGGCAGAGCCAAGTCCAATAACATCTATTTTTTTTTTGTTTTTTTAAGATTTATTCTGTTTTATTTATTCATGTATATAAGAACTGGGGTACAGGCTAGAGGCGCAGGGGGTGGGAGGATTCACCAGAGACAGAGCGGGGAGCAGAACATGCGGATCCACTGAAATCCACTGCTGAGGGGAGCAGCGGGGAGACAGGAGAGGTCTGCTGCGCCCTGTGGGTTACTCCCTGGCCAGCCGGGGATCGAACTCGTGCTGCAGAGGCTGCCGATAGCTTCACATTGTTGAGACTTAACCCCTGGCATCACCAGGGAGGCCCCAATAACATTTGTTGGTAACTGAAAATATAAACCACCACCCTCTCCCTCAGAGTTTCTGTAAACATCAAGCTAGACACACCAAGACGATCACGCGCCATCTCCACGCCTCTGTGCAATTAGGCAGCATAAAATCTGCCTCGCCGTTACGGGCTGAGAATTAGCTCTGTAATGTCAGCAAGGCCCCTGTAAGCCTGAGAGGAAGCTGAGCCCGGAGCCTTATCGTTTCTTTAATCATTTAACACCTTCCACTCTAGCTTTCTCTGTAACAGATGCTCCTCACAACTCACATGTCACAGCACAGCTTCCTACAATCCCTAAATATAGAAAACAGAATGACACATTTTGGGCCTAACTGATAAGCGGAATTGGAATTGCTCTATCTGGTAAGTCAGGGCTGGTGTGCTGAGAAACGAAGGCCTCATTCATGGCAGGGAAGGTGGGGAGGCTGGGGCTGCCCTTCTTCGTGGCGCTGAGCACAGACGCTGCCTCCTCTCGGGCAGAGTCCCTCCGGTGGAGGACACGTGTGCCCACGGACAGACGAGAAAGAGCTGGCGACGGGGACTGTTACAGGGACAGGCCATCGGACACCGAAGTCACGTGACAGACGAGTCTCTACACACTCAGACCTGGCCAGGAGCCAAAACACAATACTCCACTGATGTTGTGAAAGATAGAAATGAAACAGCATGGACAAGTTCCCGATGGCTTTCGCAGTGCAAACGTTCAGAGTATTTGAGTGTAAAGTGCACTTTCATAAACTTCCCATCGATCTGGTTCTGTCAGGAATCTGGGCTGCACATGTGAGCTCTGGTGCTCTCTTCCCTGGCCCAGGCCCGGAGAAGCGCTGGCGTCTCTCCTGACGTCAGCCACACGCCTACCCCCCAGTGGGACGCACCCCACACGGGTCCCCACTCCCCCCGCTCTGTGCACTGGCTTCTCCCCTCCTGCACGCCCCACCGAGGCTTGCTTTCCAGCACCTGCACCCCACCGGCCCCTCGGCTCCCACCCAGGCCCTGTGCCCGCCACGGCTCTTTGACCCTCACACTCCCTGAGGCTGCTTCCCCACATGTAGCTGCTGTCTGCTGCCTCCTCCCCCACGAACGTGAAGCTCGAGAGGATCTAAAGCACCAACCGCACTCGTTCTACCCCCCTCCCCCCACGGAGGCTCTCAGATACATGTTCAACTGACACACACGTGTGGATCTGGACAGGGACAGACATGAGGGATGGCTCCACGACAACCTGTGTTTTCTGTAAGCACCGTCTGCACACGCATGTTCCCACATGAACATGGATTCCTTGTGAAATCAAGACAAAACCTCCCCTGATGAGGGTTGCCCCCAATGCTGTGCTTAGACTCCTAAGATTCTACAGCTATCTGACCCGGGCCATCATGTGCTGCTTGGTCATCAGAACATGGCTCTCGGTCACCTCAGTGGACAAGATGGTCACGCCCACCAGGTGGAGCGCGACGTCCCCACTAGCCCCTCGGGGACGATGCCGTCCAAGCTCACTCCAAGAGGAACCAGGACTTAGGAAGGAGCAGGGTCGACAAGAAAGTGAATACAGGAGCATGAACTCACGTCCAGAGGTGACAGCAACGGCTCTTTCCTTAAATGGTGTCCATGGCGGATCCCACGGGGCACTGGACGCTCACGCTCTGGAGCCGCGCCGGTCCAGCCGGCCAAGCAGGTGGCTAACGAGGGCGGCTTCCCTGAGAAGAGAGGAGGGGCTGGTGAGGCCTGGGGCGAAGAACCAGGGCACAGAAGAGCCCGCAGCACCCGCCCAGCCCCGAGACGCAGACTGGGGCCAGGGGCTGAGCGCCATTCCTTGGAAGAGACACAGATGGAGTTGGGTGAAGGCAATCCTTTGGGTAAAGGTTTCGTGTCATTTCCTGAACGAACAGGCGCCAAGAAAGAGTCTCATTTCAGAAAGTGGTCCAAGCGCCTTTAACGCAAAGTCTGCCCTCGAGGGCTGAGCCCCAAGAACAGGCCAGAGGGCAAAGAGGCACCATCCCCCAGGAGCACGAGCGCCGCAGACCCTCTGCACAGGGCGGGACCCCGGCCGGGAGAGGAGGCGGCCGAGATGCAGCACCGCGGGAGCTCGGTGGGACGGGGCGAGGGGGCTGAGCCATCAGGACAACCGACAACACAAGGGGACCCCGGACACCACAGGCGGGGGTGTAAACCGGAACAACCGCTTCAAGATCCAATTCGGCGATGCCCAGAAGTCAACGCACACCTCACAACCCGCATCTGTGGGCACAAGCCATGGAGACACGTTTGAACCAGGAGGGCACGTGGGGGTACCAGCCATCTCGTTGCGGTTTGTTAAATGAAACTTCTGAAACGTGAACGCCTGTGTATGCGAGCGCAGACGCACACCCTCCCCCAGGCAGCCAGAGACCGTGGCGCTGCACGTAGAACAGATGAACGAGCCGCTGTCCACCAGTCGTCTCCGCCCTGCTGGGGAGGAAGTCACGGGGCACGGACTGTGCCCAGTGTGTCTGTAAATTCTGACAGCGCCATCTAACACTACACGCTTCTCAGAGAACTGAATCTGTGTATACGTGTAAACCATGAATGGAAGGAACACACTCGCATTAGGACAGTTAATGCCTCGGAAGAGGTAGGAAGGTGAGGACAGGGAGCAGGGCTTCATCTATATGGGCACCTTGAGGCTGGGCCCATCAACAATTACAGAGGCTCCAAAGCAAACACAAAATATTGCAAACATTTTTGCTGGGAACAGAGACAGGTCCGCCTCCGTGGAAACAGCACGGAGGTCTCTCAAGACATTAAAGGGAGACACATCACGTGGCCCAGCAACTCTACTCCCAGGTACCCAGTGAGAGCATGCAGAAGTACCGGTGCCAAGGAACACACGCACTCCACTCACCGCAGCACTGTGTACAATGGCCGAGTCATGCAAACAGCCCCGGTGCCCAACGCCAGAGGAGTGGTCTGTGCACACGATGGAGTACTACTCAGCCATCAACAAGATGAGCACTTGCCATTTGCAACACGGACGAACTGACGGGGGTGAAGCTAAGCATTATAGTCAGAAGGAGAAAGACAGGTATATGGACAGTTTTAGACATATGTGGGGTATAGAGAGACAAAGCAAAGGAACAGACAAAACTACCAAAATAAACCCTAGACACCTCACTGCAGAACTGAGGCCACGGGGGAGGGGGGTGTGGACGGTGTGGAGGCTTTGGTGGTGGGAGTGGGTGTGACCCTGTAGGCCTGAATCATACACTCTGGTGTAGTTAGTCCTGCATGAACCATCGAATAAACAAATGAGTGAATAAGAAAATAACAGAGTAAAAAACACATAACCTAACATTTTTCCAAGGATGCTAAGAATACACAGGTATGGACTGATAGATTTTGTAATATTAAATACTGAGAATGCTCATAACGCATTTTAACACTTCTGATGATGTTGCTTTTGTTTTTCTGGCAGAACTTCCTTTCCCCAACGAACACCACACTTGGAGTGACTGCGAGTTAAGGCTGTCAGAGGGCGCTGGCCGGCCAGAGGGGCACACGCGAGGCCAAGAGCCCCCGGTAGGGGACCCCCGGCAGGCCAGGCCTCGGGTCTGCTTCTGGCCCTGCGGGAGCTCCTGAGGCTGCTGTCAAGGCCACGATGCTTCCCCCCCCCCGACTTTGTGCAGAATTTCACGTTGTCAGATTTCACTTGAGGGAAATGCACACTGTGACGTCCAAATTCCGCGCTGCCTAACTGCCCTCCATGCCCGTCAGAGACGCTGTCAGCTTTGCGCCGACCCTGATGTCGGGAGGGAAGCAAGGCGGGGCGAGGGTTTACACCTTTCAAGAAAAAACGACATATTTCTACCCGCTTGATACTGAACAACGACAACCAGCTCCCCTGCGGTAGCCCCTCAGTCACACAGGGACCCCAACACTGTGACCAGAGCTTCGTGGAAGGACACAGGGGAACTAAACAGGGTCGACAAAGTGCAGAGCCCCAACGGGAATTCTCACCAGAGTCTATAACAGTGCCTGCTGGACACGGCTGCCCTCGCTGTGGCCACGCCCCACGTCAGGAGGCTTGGTCACCCCACTCAGACCCCTGCGGAGGCATCGCCCTGACCCTCCACCCATTTAAGACAAGACCCCAAAAGTCATCTTCAGTAGCACCGTTCTACGAAAATACACAGGCGCTACCCGAGGAAAGACTAAAAGCAGCCCCTGCGTCCCTTGGTAAGATTCCAGTCCTTAAGACGTCCTTTCAGGGCAGAGGAGCACGAACATTCATTATTTAGAGCGCACCGGCGCACACGCACATTGATTTTTAGGTTTGATAATGAAATTTGCTTGATGTGGGTTTCTTCACAAATGAAATGAACATTGACCTGCCTGATCGCGTATTGACAATAAAATCATCCTTAGACAGAGGCCTTTGTAGGCGCTGTCAGAGCCAGTCAGACGTGAGCGCGGCTCTCTCAGAAGTTGACAGTGCCGCTCCGACCCCACCGCCGGCCTTCCCCGTGGGTCAGGAGGACGCCCAGGACGACAGGATCCCTCCCGCCCTGTTGTCACCAAGGAGCACAGCTGCCCGCGGAGGCCCAGGACAGGCCATCGGGAGCCCAGGTGCCCACCACGCCCAACCTCCCCGCGGAGCCCTGAAAGACGTGGGTGTTCTGTGTGGAAGGAACCACTCACCTCTGATAATCGTGGCTGAGGTGCCCGCGGGCCACCTGCTCGCCACGTCCCATCTGTCCCGCGCCATGGCAGCAGCCCACTGAGTGACCGTGTGCTTCTGAAGAGGATGAGACGGTTCTCTGCGAACGGTGCATGCTCACTCGGCCAAGACGGACGCCCCTTCCAGTCTCATCCTGGACTCTGGAATGGGGTCCAGCCATGGCAGGGTGGGGAGCTCGACGGCAGCGGCTCTCATCACTCTCCACTGAATGGCCACCCCTGCCCAACACAAGTCAGCCCCCCGAGAGGGATGCAGGGGCAGGCCCTGTCCGTCGGGAACCAGGGTTGGGTAAGAAGTGGACCGGGTTGCCCCTGAGACCCACAAGGGGCCGGGAACAGAGGCCTGCAGTCCAAGGAGCAGGTCTCATGCTGAAGAAATAACACGTCTCCTAAAATAGTCAAAAAATGCAAACTTATGTCAGGGGAATCTCCTTTAACTCACTGATTCTACTGACTCTACTCTTCTGCCTTTTCATAGGACTGTCTCGGGATCAGAAAACAAGAAAAATAGTGACATTTAGAAATTTTAAGAACTTATTTTTGATGAAAGATCTTGAGTAGGGCAGAAAGTCACTGCTATATTAAAAGGAGTGGTGAGAGGCTTTCAAAGGTTGCTTCAAACTCAACAGCATATAAGAAGAGACAATACTAAAGAGACAATACTAAAATCTTGCTAAAGATAATTCATTTTTATGTGAACTTTTCTCACCAAAAAGGCAGACACTTCATGATTTGAAAAAAAGAGGTGATTATTTTATTAACCAAAACCAAAGTACACTCCCACCTGTATCTCCTGCTCTACAGAAATAAACAGTAAATAAAGGGAAATAAAATCTCCAGCGAGTCCGGGAAGCCCCTGGGCTCTAGACTGACCACCCTGAGACATCCAGATGTCGTAAGGACCAGAGGCTGGTCCAGCTCCCTTCTCGGTTACCCACTCAGCGAATTAGCAAACTCCGAGCGGTTCCTCAGGAGTGGAGGAGCTGATGCCCCCCCGCAGGCGATGTTATCTGTCCCGGTGCCTTCCCCTGAGGAGCCTGCAACCAAATCCACACACGGCATCTCCCTCGTACGTGCTAAACCTCAGAGAAGGAAAAGGGCTTAAGTAATTGTGTTTTCTTAGCTTGGCATTATTTATTTAGACTGCGTTTATTATATTGGAAACTGTAGTTTTAAAAGCTGTCCGGGAACCTTACTTTGCTTAACCAATAAGACATCAAACAGAAAGACACAAATGTGCACAATTCCAAGCGGCAGCTCTGAGCAGGTCCTGCAGCTGCTACCGGGACAGTCCAGGGCACCTGGAGGCTGGCAGAGGCTGGGCTGAGGCTGGACAGAGGCTGGCAGAGGTGGGGCTGTCTCCTGTGCCCATGGGGAACCTCCATACCATGCCCCATATGGGCTGGGCCAATTTCTATTCCCACCCACAGTGTGTGAGGGTCCTCTTTTCTCCCCACCCTCCCCGACACTTTTCAGTCTCTTGTCCCTTGCAGAGAGCCGTTCTGACAGGTGCAAGGTGGCAGCTCATGGCCGTGATTTCATTTCCCTGATGATCAGTGAGGGCGAGGACCCTGTCCTGCACCTGCTGGTCACTTGTATGTCTTCCTAATTGGATTTTTTTTTTTTTTTTGCTACTCAGTTTGTACAATCTTTATGTTTTAGGTGTTGCCACCTTTTATGATAAATGATTTGCAAACATCTTCTCCATATTCATTCCGTAAGCTCTCTTTTCACTTTGGTATTTTCCTTCTTGTTTAATTTTGGTTTTATTGTCTTCACTTTTAGCACCATATCCCCCCAAAACATCATTGCCAAATGAACTTGCCCCTAGGTTTTCTTCTTCTAAGAGTTTTATGCTCCCAGGTCTTATGCCCAAATCTTTAATCCACTGTTAATTTGTTTCTGTGTGTTATGAAAGACAGGGATGTGGTTTCATTTCATTTTTTAACCTGGCTCTGTCCAGATGTCCTAACACCCTTCTTGA